CATGTGTGTTTATGCCTTAAATGTGGTTCTGTACATTGTAGGAACCCAGACCAATAGGCCAGTTCATCGTTGAGTGTATTGGATGATCCCAGAAAATGGTTAACTCACTAACCAAGTTAAGTATGCAGTCAAGAGGTTTAGACAATGAGGTAGGTTTCCAAGAATTGCATGTAGTCTTCAAGACAACTCCATACCTTGGCCAGCAAAGGAGAGGCAAAATCAGCAATGTGATGGATGGAATGTTGTGATTCAAGTTTCACTTCTTTTGACATGGACTTTCAAAAGAAACAGGGGCGATGTGGTCTGCCACCTTGCCAATTTTGACCACCCCACAGATGCCCCCTCCTGAACAGAATTTTGGAACCACTAGGGCTAAAGACAAATAATCCATGCCAAGTCATGGGCCTGTCTGTCCTATCTACCTGAAAAGAAAGAACTGGAAAATATAATCTTGTATTTTATAACATTATAAAATATAATGTTGTACGCTGCCCAGAGTCACTTTTTGGTGAGATGGGTGATCATACAAATTTGATAAATAAATAAATAAATAAATAAATAAATAAATAAATAAATAAATAATCTTTGTTGTTTACGCTTAATGTAAGATCAGACTCTTACTTCCAGAATTCCTCAATTTGCGGACCACTTCTGTCCATCCCACTAGACCCAACAGGATGGGCACACTCTTGGTTCCATCTGTGAGGCCCAGAAAGCAAACCTTCTGTGTTGCAGCACCTGCCCCTATGGTGCTCCCACCATAACCCCCAAGATTTGCTTGGCCCCAACCCTAATAGCATTTTGTAAGCCCCCAAAGACAGGGATGTTCCCTCAGGGATGGGGTCTGGAGGTTGGGTAAACCCAACAATGTGACCTTTTTTCTTACCGTGATTGCTGTGATATGAGTTGGTTTACATTGTCCTTGGGCACCAGTGTGTTATTTTATCATTATTGCTATTATTTGTGTTTTTTCTCTTGTTACGTTGGGGTTTTTTAAATCCTGTGTTCACTGTCCAGAGTCCTAAGTGAGATGGACAGCTATATATGTCTAATTAATTAATTAATAGACATGCATGCTTCCTAGTTGCTGCTGTTGTTTAAAAAGAAGAACTGGTACCAAACTACACAATAGGTATTTTGGAAGAATATTCTCTGTATATATTTACTGGAAGTAAGTTCTAATGAGTTTAGTCAACCCTACTCTCAGGAAAATGCACCTAACTTTTATTACCTTTTTCTCTACATCTGTCAGTCACACCTACCCACAATTAACTCTAGAGGAACACAGTAACAAATGCCAGACAAACCAGTTCATCTCAAAAGGCAGAATAGCAATCTAACAATTAAATAGATAACTTCCACCTAGCTAATTGGAGGGCCTGAGTCCATATAGAATACTCCACTTGTCTTTCTTAAAAGCATGTAAGCTACATGGAGGCTTACAATCACATCCCCCTCTTTACAGTGTAAATTTCTCATTGACCTCATCCAAGTTTTCCCAGAATTGGGCCATATAACTGTTGAGGCATATTACCTTCTATTTTTAGCTGGCTCTCAAAACTTTCAGCAATCACAGAACTAGCTGAAATTCTGGAGAAAGAAGAAAGATATAACAATGATTGAGAAAATGTTCCTCTTGTGTGTGATCATCTGGGTGTGATCTGTCATGCAACTGTTTAGACATAAGAATTTGGTCCAAACAAGGACACCTGAAGCCACAGAGCATAGTCACCTTCTGGCTTAGAAAGAGAATTTGACCCAGAAATTCTGACCCAAATCTTTGTCTTTTCTCTCCCCCATTCTTCCATTTCCTCATTTTAAGTTTTGATTATTGTGCTTCACGCAGACTTGATTCACAGTTTGTATTCTATGAGGTTTCAGCCTGCCTGATGGAGCATGTTCTGGCCTGCCTGATGCGGGCACAGTTGGAGGCCCAGATGTTGAGTCAGTCAGTGCTGCTGAGTCACAGAGACAACACCATTTCTTCTCTGATACAACAATAAGGGTGGGAAAGAGACCACATCTGAGTCATTCCTTTACATGACAGAGTGGCCAACTTTTCCACCGGCCTTGGCTGCTGTGCTTTCAGAAGCCATCTCACACACGAGCCTTCATGAAGTCAGACTGTGCTGCTGGCTACAATAAACCTCACTCAAGATCTCTGCAGCTTTTCTGAAAGGCAGAAGGTCTAGCCAGGATGTCTATATTGTTGGTGGGGGCTGTGGCCAGACGGTAACCCATAAGACATTTCCATAGGATCTTCCCTATACTCCAACTACAGATTTTATGGGGGGAGGAAGAAGAAGAAAAGGGTTGGTTGAGCCTATCCATTCATCCTGTTCTTTTTCCA